TATATAAATGCATTTTTTAAAGCATCATTTTTTATTACCATAATAAATGAGCATGTAAAGAGAATCAGAGAATAATGTGAATTACCAAGACTGAATGAATGAATGAATGAATGAATGAATGAACAGCCACGCTAATTACATTAGAGAGTATTCTGGAATTTCACAATTCAAGAAAATTCTAATGGTCTTCATGCAGAATTAATTTCTTATTTTATCTTTTGAAAGTAAAATATGACCTGAACATGTTTTCATAAGACTGACCCAAACATCCACAAAAATTCTTAATTTCGAGAACCTTTCAAGAGATGCCAACCTCTCGTTGGGTTTTATAGCTTGAGTCTTTGTATGTTTGTGAGTGCGTTGGCCTTTTTGCTAGGTTTGTTTGTTTTCAGATCACAGTAACCAGGCTTCCACAGTTAAGCAGTGCCCATCCTAGGTCTATTCCTTAAACCAACACAGAGGCACAAAAGGGGAGGACAGAGCCCTGAGGAATCCCTCTGTCACTGGCGGACCACCCACTTAGGGAGCAGACAAGCCTGTTAGGCCACACCGCACTCCATTCTAGGGATTTTGAACTTCAATGGGACCCACAAGGAAGCCGAAGGGGTCGCCAACGCACCTCCTGCTCTCCGTATAGCCAAGTACGGCGGAGAGTGAGTGAGATGTGATATCAGGGTGGGTGGCTGTCAGAAAAGCAGAGCAGGACCACACCATACTGCCGTAAGAGGAGCAGAGCTGATGGGACCAAACAGTACATTTATGTTTCCTGCCCGGACGGCCCACACAGGGGGAGGGGGTGATACGGGTTATGTCAAAGGTCGATCCACCTGCTAAGAACAAAGCTTGTTGAGACTGTAGCCCTATTTCTGCTCTTGTCGGGAAGGCCAATTCAACTCCATAGGAAACTTAGTGTGTTTGTTATGATGGACTTGGTGTGTGTGCTTTGAATTTGGACTGCAAAAGGACAGTTTACCCATGCAAGAAAACAATCCAGCATCTCAGTTGTAATAACACGACCCAGCCTACAAGCAGTCCGCTTATCCCAAACCATGTCAGACAAATAAAATCAGCAGGGAAACAGACTCAAGAGAAACATCGTCTCACAGGCATGAAATTAAATTTGGGTTCAAAGATGTGCTTTCACCAGTTTGAAAAACAATCGTAAAGTGTAGCAACTACCAATATGGGATATTCAATGGCCGATATTGATATTTAAAGAGCAAGGTGGTTGATGACTGATAAAATGTCAAATAAATAAATAAACAAAATACACCAAAGTTGTTTTTTTTATTTTATTATTGTTCAGGCAGGGACAGACACTAAAAAAAAAAAATCTAAAACTGTCTAAAAATGGCAGACATATAACACCTACTACAATCATCTAACATAATTAATGTAAACTGTAAAAAAAAAGACATTTTAATATTTGGGCAAATTTAAACTATGATTAAAAAATATATATACAATTAACAAAAAGCATGTGAAGTCTGCTACAAAATAGCTAATTTAAAGGGGTCCTATTATGCTTTTTCAACTTTAGTTAGTCTGTAATGTTGCTGTTTGAGCATAAAAAAAGATCTGCAAAGTTACAAAGCTCAAAGTCCAATTCAAAAGGAGATATTTTACTTAACAGAAATCACTTTTCAAAAACTACAACGAACGACTCGTTTGGACTACAACGCATATTTTCCGGGATTTGTGATATCACAAATATCGACGAATGGGACGAGACCTGGTTGAGCTGCATTAGAGAAGGCAACGAGTGTTATCACTAAGACGGAGTCACGCTAGCTTTCCCAAGGCAGACGAACTTAGAGTGGTTACAATTCATCCGGGTTTAAATCAAGCTCAAACTGATTTGATTTTGACGCAATATTTACACTGAAGCTCACAGGCGGCTATGGTAAGGGGCATGACATTTCCCGACCAGGCGCCGAGTGCTGCCAATCACAACACACACTGGCCCAGCTAACCAATCACAACACACACTGGCCCAGCTAACCAATCACAACACATTTCGTATTTCAGAAGGCGGGCCTTCATTTGATACAGGAACTATTTGAGCCATTCATGCCAGACTGGGGAGAGAGGTGTTGTAATAATGTAAAATATGTGAAAAATAATGTGTTTTCTGTTCTAGTACACCCCCAAAACAAAATCAAGACTTTGTAAAAGAGCATAATAGGACCCCTTTAATAAAATTATATAAATTATAACTCATCAAAGAAATGTTATGATAATTTCACAAATGAAAAACAATTATTTTTGATTGCACTGCATATTCAACAGTTTAATAACTGAATCTGACAGTCCTTCTAAAGAAGTATCAATTTTACAAACCAATCTCCTACTTAATGGCAAATTATAATACAGTTCTGGTTCACTAATTTGATTGACAAGTATTTATTCAAACCGTATTGGAATTTACTTCCCTATTTGTATCACTCCAATTGTTTGTGTTCACTAAATGCAATTACAATTCTATGGTTTACAACATACTCTCATTGGCAGAGCAAAAATAAGCAAAAAACGTACTGCCCTGTGTCCCGATATTAATTTTTTGTTTACAGAACTGTTCTCTAATAGCAATACAACACATGCAAATGTTCTGTAACAGTGCTGATACTGCTAATCAGTCCTTATATTGATGTTCAAAACACCTTGCTTTCAGAATTGAATCAGCAATGTGCTTCTCAATTTAGAGGAACATGCACATTGCTATGTTGATGTCTTGGATCCCGGTAGTTGTACACTCTTCATCAGTGGTAAAGGATAATAGCCTTAAACTAAACAAACATTCAAGCTAGATTAAAGAAAGAATTGGGTGGGATCAATGCTTCATGCTTATCTGCCACCGAAAAGGAAGGAGATGGCTTTAATACAGGTGACTGCAATGCAAAACTTTACACAAAAAAAACCCTACAGATAATATTAATGATCGTAAAACATTATTTTGCATGCGTGAGTGGCAGAAATAATGTCTGTGCACCAAAAACACACAACCCCATAAAAATCAGGCATGCAGCCATATACTCAGAGGCACACATACACACGCTTGGCGTCTAAGATATCAGGAAACATGCTAAGTAGATCCTGTTCTAGGTCTTGGTCTCCACCCTTCACTAGGATGTAACGCTTTGGGTTGGGCTCTTCTACTGCAGGATGTGTCAGCACATCAGAGAAACAGCTAACCTGGCATTAACTCCGAAAAAGACAAACACACGCAACACAGAGGTCATGCTATGAAGGATCGAACCTCATCGGCGGCCTTTACAATGCACGTCGCTGTTTGAGAGCGAGTGACTGAGGCTCATATGATGATCGGTGAAGCTCTCCAACATATATACATAGATTAGACCATACAGATGGAGACTAGACAGTGCCAATGCAAAGCATAAAGAGGAAGCAATAACACTTCACAACAAATTAATTACAATTACAATTATTATATATGCAAAGAATATGAAATTTCCTTCATATATATATACAGTGCCGTGAAAAGGTTTTTGCCCCCTTCCTGTTTTTTTAATTTTTTGCATATTTGTCACACTTAAAAGATTCAGATCATCAAACAAATTTTTATATTACGCAAAGATAATGCAAGTAAACACAAAATGCAGTTTTTAAATGCTTTCTAAAATAATGTGGTTAATCACAGTTCTTTCATGATTTAAGAGGAGGGGCAAATAATTTTTCACGTAGGGAGGTAGGTTTGGACAGCTTTTTTCCCTTAATAAATTAAATCATAATTTCAAAACTGCAGTTTGTATTTACTCAGGTTATCTTTGTGTAATATTAAAATTTGTTTGATGATCTGAATCTTTTAAGTGTGACAAATATGCAAACAATTAAAAAAACAGGAAGGGGGCAAAAACTTTTTCACACCACTGTATATGCTATACACTATTGTTCAAAAGTTTGGGGTCAATAAGATTTTTTAACGGTTTTGAAAAAAGTCTCATATTCACTAAGCATGCATTATTTGATCAAAAAAATACAGTAACCACAGTAATACTGTGAAATATTATTATAACTTGAAATAACTGATTTTTATTGTAATATATTTTAAAGTGTAATTTATTCTTGTGATGCAAAGCTGAACTTTCAGCATCATTACTCCAGTCTTCAGTGTCACATGATCTTTCAGAAAGCATTCTAATATGCTAATTTGGATCTTAAGAAACATTTCATAATACTCTATTATTATTATCAATGTTAAAAACAGTTTTGGTGCTTAATATATTTTGGAAACCATGATATGTTTTTTTTTTTCAGGAATCTTTGATGAACAGAAAGTTGAAAAGATCAGCATTTATTTAAAACAGAAAGCTTTAACATTATAAATGTATTTCCTGTTACTTTTGACCAATTTAATGCATACTTGCTGAATAATTGTTTTTTAAATTAAAAATAATCTTACCAAAACTTCACAAACTTATAGTATACAGATGCTGAAGAAATATGGTTTTACACTAACAAGAATTAACAACAAAATCAAGATTCTTCAGACAGGGTACCATGTTAATACCATATGTCTTAGTATGTACATGGAGTACCATGCAAATACCATGGTGCATGAAGATTTAGTGTCATGATTTTATCATCTTATACCACAGGACTTTTAGTAAGGGAACTCCTGTAAAATGCAGGCTTTAATAAACCTTTATAGCTTTTTAAAAGTTGACAATCTAAATACATGTCATTGTTAGAACCCTTTGATATTTGACTGTTTTCAGAAGTCAATAAAAACTAATTGCAATCTTTAAGGTTAACATAATGAAGTAATGCCACAACACTAAGCACTTAAGACAGTTTCTGAATATATGACATGATAAGGATGCCCTCTAGTGCCCATATTTAAGAATGCACTTTCTCCAAAAGTGTGAATAGTGTATATCACCCAAAACACACAGTTACCTAATCAATAACCCAAATTTTCCCAAATTCACAAAACAAAAACCCCCGTCAAATACAAAGGATAGCATTCTCTTCTTACTCACCTTTGTACATATCAAACAGTGAATCCTTCAGTTCCTGTTTGTGCATCCATGACAGCTGATGCAGCTCCTCCTCACTCTCTGAGAAGCTTTCCCTTAAAATCAACAGAGTATATCCATCAATAACTTATAGCTGTTATTCTTGAATGCTAGAGCTTGAGCTCAGTGTGTTGAGTGAGTTGTGGTCATATGTTAACTAGCTCTCAGTGTGGGTTAGACTAATCTCTTCTGCAACGTCCTCATGAGCTCAGGGCTCACATATCAAAAGCTGAGTGTGTGTATGACCAGCCCTACAATTACTTTCCTTTCTGCAAAAATATCAAAGTAGCTGCTACATTCATAATGAATGGGTTTCTAGGACTGGGATATTCCATATTACTACAAAGCACAAGGGTGTGATGACTAGTAAACCCATGTTGATATGGGATGGGTTTCAATATTTCTTAGCATGCAATTATTCATGCAGATAAACTGGAAAATTGGCAAAATAACTGGCAGATCCTGACAACCAGGACTGTGATGAAAACAGCCCAATGTCCAGTCAAAACTCATGCAAAGACCAATAAAATCAGCCTAATAAAAAAAACACAATACCCCAGATTTAGAATTCCTACGATTTCCTTTTATTTTCATGTCTTGTTAATGCAAGTGAGGGGTATTTAAATATACATTTATATATGTGAAAGCGGTTATTTATATTTCTGGCATGACAACTCTACTGTACATGGCAATGTTAATGTGTTTGGCATTTTGTGTGTTTACTGCTGCAGCAGAGTAGGTACCGAGACTTGCTACTGCCAATACATAAACACACATGCTGCTGTGAGCATGTAAGAAATACTGCTGCTGCACATATAACATATATAAAATAACCCCCAAATATAACATACATGAAATGACCCCATTGCAGATCTACACAGGTGGAACTGGGGAAGGTGGAGGGTTTCTGAAGCATGCTGCAACTGCTACAGCGAGCACTAGCCAAGTATTTGAATGTTGAGCAGCAAGCTCATTGGCTGCTGATGTGCAAAGAAACAGCTGTGCCACGTGAATAATGATGTGATTATATCAGATTGAGTTAGAACCTATAGGTCTGCGCCATCTAGAGATTCATGACAGAAATTTGAATTTGTTATATTATGTCATCATCAAAACTGTTATCTCTGCAATACATGTGTTTACTAAGTTTGATGTGATTAGGGCGTTCCAAATCAACAGATTTTGACAAGTGAACTTCTACAGATATACCCTGCTCAGTGTGCACTGTGCAGGGACCCTGTGAGTCAGAGCACATGGTGCACTGAAGTCTGTTCAGGAAGTTGGGAAGTCATAATTACAACATCAGATGCATTCAAGTCACTTTGGTCAAAGCAATATGGCGATGTACCTTTTCTGATGTGACTTGAATGCACCAACATTTCCACTGTCCTGCAGAGTCTAGATCCAACCTTAATCAAACACACCTCAACCAGGTAATGAAGGTCTTCAGATTGCTTGAAAACTACAGGTTGGAGCAGATTGGACCAAAACTTTGCAGAACAGAGAATTAGCAGGGTTTAATATCCCTGACGTAGGCCTAAGTATAACAACGTTAAACATTGCACTTGCTTTTAAAATATTTTGTTATTAAAATATTTTAAACAAGTCTAAAATATTTCTTTAAGTTTACCAATGTACAAATGTCAATTAAGTCAAACTTAAAATGTCTAAATGTCAATGTGATTACAAAATCTCAAACCAAGTGGTATTTATTTTAAAGAAAGCTATAGCACAGCCATGCAGTTTATGTAATGAAATACACCTGTGGTTTCTCTGCTAGGATACCTGGGAACTTGAGAGGATAATGGTGCTTCAAGTCATGACGAAAAAATCATATATCACATGAAGCATTTGTATTAATGGTAAATTTGTTCAAATAAAGGTCATTTGTTTTATTGTAAGTGGGAATAATCTTTCCATAGTATTTTGCAACTACAATAGAATACATAATTAAGTTTACAGCACTTTAATAAATTGGATAAAAACAAAGAAAAACACACCAATTTGCATTCTTTATTCATCATTTTGTAGATGTAGAATTAAACAATTCTTGTTGAATTTTATGTAGAAAAGGTACAATGCCATTTAAATCCAACCAAAGTAATTTGAAAGTAACCTGATGTCGTAATTATGACTTCAATCACAAGTCAATACGAACTATCCTGGAGAATGTGAATGCACTAAAAGCTCTAGCATAATTTATTTGCAAGTTCCACTTATTTTGATATTTTATATCTAATAAAATGTAATTCAGTCAATTTGAACTGTGACTTAAATGTCCAAGTGCTTTTTAGGGCTATATTTCTGTACCAATGTTTTCTTTAACCAGATTCAAGAAGACCTTCTTACAACTATATCTGAACATGAATCATTTGAAGAAGAAGAAAAAACATACAAGCAAATGAATAAAACGCCAACTGTCTTCATGACAAACCTAAAAGTTACACACCTTGGTCTAGAAGACAAGACGATGGCTATCAGTTGACATTAACAAACTGTGGCATACAATTTCTGTCAAATAAGATCATTCCATACTCTACAAACACATTGCTAAATGTACAATATATACACTTAAGTAAAATCTAGATCCCATGAGCAATATGCTTCTGTAACCTCCATATTTCCATTATGTCTCATTATGTACATGTAACTGGTTAATAATGGAGATCCCATACTCACTTTATAGACAACTCATTCTCCAAAGTTGATATTTTGTGTTTTGCCCTCTGAAGTGCACATTGAACATCCCGTGCCATGCTTCTGATATTCATGTATGTGTTAGTGTGAGTAGTAAGCCGGCGTTTTCTGACTGGACACTGTATACTTCATCTCAGCTTGCACATCCCATGCAACATGATCCACGAGAGGAGACACTGGCTGTGTCTCAAAACCTAGTGAGTTCCCCATCTACATAGGACATGCCACCATGGTTATGTTTTTAAATTTGTGATTTTTTTTATATGCATCATGTTAATGTCAAAGTGTTCTTTGAAAACACCATGATATACCGGTATTAATACATGATAATGATTTAGTTACGTTGGGTTTATATGGGTCAATGATAAAGGATGTCTGAGCTGAATTTTTTAAACGTGTACCATTTCTCAATGTGTAATTTCATAAAAAGGTCAAAATATGTGATAAAATAATAATAATAATAATAATGATTATGATGATAACTTTAACACTGTCATAAAGGTGTTAGGGTCCCCTTTGCAAATTATACTATAGATATTTAATATAATATAATATAATATATGATATAATATAATATAATAATATTTAACTTAACACACAAACAAACAATTACTGACTATTCATTCAATTTTAATAGAAAATATACTATCATCCTTGCAATAACAATCAAGTAAAATAATCCAGAATGATCATTTGTTTTTGTTTTGTTTTTTAAGTTAAATTTATTTTGAAATTAATATCACTCTACAGCCATAATTAGGGGTGCTCCGAGGTACTCACCTTCATATTTTTTCATTAAAGGGGTCATATGATGTTGCTAAAAAGAACATTATTTTGTGTATTTGGTGTAATGAAATGTGTTTATGCGGTTTAGGGTTAAAAAAACACATTATTTTCCACATACTGTACATTCTGCACAGTTGACACGGGAATTGTCACTTGCACAGTCGAGGCAGTGTCACATCGTCACAATAGTTTATTTAATTCTTGCCAGTGTTTAACCATTCAGCGCTCGCGTGCTCTCCTGGAGACCGTACGCTCCGTTTGCAGTGCATACGTGGTTCGTATTTTTCCCGCGCTCATGTTAACGGATTAAAGCGGGTCCGGCAGTGCGTTCAGAAGCAGTGCGTTCAGAAGCGGTGCGTCTGCAGCAGTGCAGAGATCGTTTCCACACCGAG